AGTGATAGTCTTGTTTCTTTTTAATGTCGTAAAAGTTTTACGGGACTTGCAACACAATAAGGCCATAGAAGTGCCGAAGATTAGAGGTGATACAAGGGAGTAAAAAGCACAAAAAAGAAGGAGGGAAGAAAAAGATGATAGATATTTGATAGGATAGAAGGAGCAAACCACACCAGAGCATCCGCCAACCACCCACAAGTGATAGTCATGGACATGTGGTCGTTAGAGCAGGTTGTTGAACTGCACCGTACGTTGCATAATAATCTCATAATTATCTATGAAGCCAACGTCTTGCAGATAGCTCCCTCTAGCTGGGATCCGCCTCACTGTCAACACATCCAAAGCCTGACGTGGAAATCGTGCGTCACCGTGAGACAGGACAGTAATCGAGCAAACGACGTAAAAACGTGAGTACGTGTTAACTGCGCGGCCCCAACATTGCGTAAGAGAACACTTGAAGGAGTCGCTAATGTCTATCAACGTATCGATTCTTTTGTCAGCGCCTCATCACTTCCGATTCGATTTATTCACCATGAAAAAGTTCAAAGAGGTGTCTTTGTTTCGACGAAACGACGACAAAAAAACGGAAAAATAAAATACTCTTACTTGTCTTATATTCTCTTTGTTTCATTAGGCTTTGGTTTGTATAGGTGCAGGGGAGGGGGTAAGGGGAGAGGTTTTTTTTTTTTAAAGGAGAGGGACGGGGGGGGGGGTAAAAAGGGAGAGGATTGAGGGGGGAAGAAGGGTAAATTTCGTAGAATATTTTGCGTATTTTATTGTCAATTTACAGATCATAATTCAAGTTTTATGACAATATCAGGATCATTTTCACCCGTCAACTCGTCTCGCAGTTTGGCAGATGTGTGAAAGTTATGGCAGCTTCGAGGAAACTTGGTCCCAAAATTCACAAACTGTCGAGACGGTGAGTAAACTCACGTGCACCTACTTTTCGCGCACAAGTGATAAGTGGATATATAACGGTGGCGTGATGTTGGTAGACTGTGAAATTTGCACCATGTGTAAGGAAATTCACACGAAAATCTTCACACTTCACACTTTCTGAAAGCTTTAAGGCAGCAAGTATTGGGCGATGAAACTGCTTTTTTTTTTTTGGG